GGAATCAGAAATATTTCCTCCCCCAAGTTCGTTATAATATGTAATAACAGGCAAAATTGAAGGAAAACATCCAGTACCAAGGAAAAAACTCTCTGGATCCAAAAATATATGACGTTGAAGGATTTAAAATTAATAAGAACTAATATGACCAACAGAAAATAGAGAACAACTGAATAGTTCATTATAAGAAGTAAAGACTAATCCCTTAAAAATCTGAAAATATTCTTCTACTGCATATTTTTAAAATATCTAACCAAATCAAACGTTTAGTACATTGTAGACAGTTCGGTTAACTCAACATAGAATAGAATTTTTGTTTCCAATATACCAAAATAAGTTGTTTATTAATTTGCAAATAAACAAGCGTTGTTTGTTTATTTGCATATTATTATTAGTAAATTCATAACTACCATATTAATATAGCTAAATTATTTTTCTTAGAATGTTTGTTTATACTAGATTTTTGCATATTTTATTAGTAGTTATAATAAGTAAATAAGAAATATAAACATAGATATAAAAACATTAGGAAGTTATAAAATAAAGCAATTCATATTCAAAACGAATTATAATTTGTTTTAGAAATAGTTTAAATGACGTTCATCAAGCGTTGCTTTCTTTTTACAATTTTAAATACAGTATTTGCCATAATAACCTGCCGAAATTTAGACTGCTGTCAAATTGGGCATTTATTTCTTCTTCTTCTTCTTTTTTCTTCTTGTATCTCTAAAACTCTTGGATCTGTTCTTTAAAGCTTGTTTCTTCTTCAATATTAACCTCCTAAATTCCTATCCTATCCTCAGCCATTCTACTAATGTATTCTTTTCACTCCTTTTTTCTTTTTTTTGTCACTCATTCATTTATGTCTTCTATATTACATACTCTTTTTGTTTTCGCTTCTCTGTCTATTCAACTGACATTTCCCTGACATTCGTAGAAGTGTTTTCATTTCTGTTGTGTCTAGTAGTCTTCTTGTTTTAGATGTGTCAGGTCTTGTCATTTTTTCTTGTCTTGTCAATTTTTTGCTTTATAGATTCTGGTTTTTGTGACTTGTCTTAGATGTTTGTGATTTCAGATTGTGTCATTTAGAGATCCCGCCGCTTTACTTGCTTTTAAGCTTTGCTGTCGTGCTTGTTCTTTAAGATCTCCGAAACTAGCTATATCTATTCCCAGATATCTAAACCTTGCTTCCTGTTTTATTGTTTTCCCCATCAATTTCGATTTAACATCGTAGTGGGTATGTAGATGTTGTCATACATGTCATGGCATATATACGGCGTCATCTGCATAACATAATATTTGGATTTCTTTGTTCCCCATTCATCAGCCATGACCTTTACGTACTGCTTGTATTATTTCGTCCATTATTATATTAAAGAGAAGTGGATTTAACAAGTCACCCTGTCTGAATTCGCTTTGTACTAGTATACACTGTGTTAGTTTTCCATTTATCTTTGCCTGTATTCGATTATAGAAGTAGATGTTTTCGATGGTTTGTATGATGCTGATTGTCATGTTTCTTTTACACAGTAGGTATAAGACGTCCTCGGAATGGATGCGATCGAAAGCCTTTGTAGATCTATAAAATATAGATATGCTGGTTTATTGTACTGCATAGCCTTTTATGATATTTGTCTTACTACAAATACGGCGTCTACGTATGATCTTTCTGATCTGAGTCCTTGTTGTTCATCTGATAAAGTTGTTAGTTTATTGATTTTGTTGATTAGGACTTTTGTGGTAAGTTTAAGTACGGTGCAGTAGATTTATACCTCTATATTTGTTGGAGTCTTCTTTATCAACTTCATTAAATATTGGTATTATTCTCCTCCCTGTTTTAGAAGCTCGTATATCATTCCATCTGGTTCTGGTGACTTTCTATTTTCAAGTGAATATATGCCTATCTTTAATTCCTGAAACTGATTTCTATTTCTTGTCTTAATTCAGGTACGTTATTGTGTTGATTATTATTTTCCTTTTCTTTAAACAGTTCCGTAAGAAACTACATTTATTTTATTGGGCTTATTTATTATTAACTATCATATTGACGTTGCTCTAATAGTAAAACATTTAAAACTATTATGTAAAAATAGTTCCCACAACAAATAACCATGCTTTTTGTTGAAAATTCTGAGGGTGGTGTTTATTCCTCGAGAATGATATCAAATTCTAGTTATTTTTTGTGTTTTTGGGTAATATTTGGTTGTGTGTTATGTATATGTGTATATGTTTACGTGTTTTGTATAAAATATTATATATAATTGTAGACTATGTGTCACTGACCTTCTATTTATCTGCTTTGTTGGCATATCCTTGTGGCTGGCTTCTTTTTAACTAATGACAACCGGAGCTACATTCATACCTACACAATGCTACATTTTTCTGATGGATTTGCTACACATTTTTCTTTATTAAGTAGAAAAAAACCAGCAAATTTCATTAAAAATGCCCCAAGAAATACAAGATTCAACAAAAGAATTCACAATAGATATACAGAAAGCAGCGTGGGCAGCAACCCCGAATATTGACTACACTAAACCAGCAAAAAATCTTGACCCCACAGTTAAACAAAAAATACTAGAGAAAAGGCAGCCTCGCATAAAATGGCAGATATCGAGATGCGCAAGCGATAAAGCAAAGCTACTAAAGATGTAACAAAGTTACTAAATAATATAAAAAATAAAGGTATTGAGGATTATCTTATTCTCTTGTAGCCTCTGAAGATACAGACTGCTCACTTTAAAAGGCAAGGAAAAAGCTAAAACAACCACAACAACATTTTCCTCTAGTAATAGACATGCTGGGTAAGACATAATGAAGTGCGTAGACTGAAACGTATCTGTGATTTGCATTCTGCTCAGTTTCATTCTGTTTTTGATGTATGCTTCATGCTCGGTTATCCTCACACTTGATGGTCTTGCGGTTTGTCCTATATAAAAAAATGTTAATTCGTAGGGTATTTTATAGATGCAATTCTTTGATCTCTGTTTTTAGGTTTATTTTGATTAAAATAGATCTTATTGAATCGGTTTTTTTGGATCTTCTTGTGTGGTATATTTGCTTTGTATCATTTTTAGTTTTTATTATTGTCATCTTTAAATCCTTTCTGGTGAGCGTTTCTGGATTGTTAAAGGTATTTTGTTATTTCCCTTTAAATATTCATCATTTGATTTTGTGGTCTTCTCTGACAATAAAAAGATAACGGCATATTCCCCGCTAAAGCTGGTCAACAAGGATGACAATGAAGGATGTGTAGATTAAAATATAAAATTAAAAAAAAAGAAAGACTACTTTGAAATAGTACATGCCAATGAAATCCATAAAAAGAGGTATAAAAATTTGGGCAATGGCATGTGCTGAAACAGGTAACCTCATCATTTAAGGTAAGTCAAGGTAAAGAATCTGAACTTATTGACGAACATAATCTAGGGGAAAGTATAATACTGAATTGTGTAAAGTGTAGAAAAAATGGGGGCACTGTTTGTACTTTGGCAATTTTTTTACCACACTTCCTCGTATAAATTAGTTATCAGAACTAGGTCATTTTGGTTGTGGAACAATAAGACAAATACATATTATATTTTCCAAAACAAAATTTAGTGGATGACAGAAAAACGAAAATGGATGAAATAGATGGAGTTATTCGCAATGATATTACCATGCAAGTAAGTGAAAGGATTGTGGCTCAAAATCTATGAGTGTGTGCAACAATATGTATACTCATGCAAAAACTGGTTTTATTTTAAGAACATTAAAACCTGGAGAACATCAGCTGTCCTCAAGCTATTGTAAACTACAATATGTTTATGGGCGGTGTAGATCAGTTTGACCAATGAATGCAGACATACTTAGCAGCTTGGAAAAATCGTTGACGGTGAATAAAGTTATTTTATTAGCTTTTTGACGCATCCATAGTAAATTCTTGCCAAAGTTAGAAAAATGGCCTATACCATAAACGTGGTAAGGGCCCGTACCATGGCCCATATTTTATGACCTGTAACATGAACAAATTTAAAAAAAATTAATGTGTTTTTTGTAGAGCCTAATATTCTGTCTTTTATGTGTTTTTTCAAACAAGTAAGTTGACCTTTATAAAGAAAAATTGTGAATGTTTCCACCAATTGGATCTCCTAAGTAGTGGTGCTTTTTAAAACTTGACCATAGCTCTGAGGATGGCTTTGTAAGCCGGAAGGGTTGAGTTAGAAAATAAATTTTACACACTTTAAAAGTACTTTTCTTTTCTAGTTATGTGTGTTTCATCAGTCTTTTATTAGATTTCTTTGATTTTTAATCATAATTTGTTTTTGCAATCCAATAAATTTTTTGGTGATACTTAAGTCAATATTATTCATTTTAGTTAACGTGGTTTTAACATCGAGTCTTGACTTTCTTAGAACAGGCAACAAGAACGTTTTATGAATATTTATAATTTTGTTTCACATAGCAGTATGTTATGTCGAGATTATATTGTTTCTTTCTTTGACTTTACTAGACAAACATTTAAAATAACAACTGATGAAGCTGTAATTTAATTGAAATATAACCGTCAATGGACAACAGTCAACAAACAACGTGTGGATTCTAAGGGTTTTCTCTTTATTTGTAATGAGTTTAAGTTGACAAATAATAATAAACATCAATCTATCGCCGATCACTTAAAGGCGTTGCAACGAAAGTAAAACAAATATGAATAAAAGCTTCTATTTCAACATTATTGCATAAGTGCATTCAAGATATAAATAAAAATATTTATAAAATGTATCATTATCTTAAGCGATACACAAAAACTCAGCAAGCATTTAATTCATACAGGGGAAACATTTGCCCATTTCGAAATAAGTATGAAGAATGATTTGATATCGCGACTTGCAAGTGCAACATTACTATAACTGTATGCGTGATAAAATCAAGAAAGAATCACAAAATGAGCGAATTTTTCTTTAAGATCAACAATCCTGTCGACAAATCTAATTAAACCAGTGGGTATTGTAACATCTGGAATGGAAGAAAATAGAAAGAAACCATATAGTACTGACGAAATTGTTCTTAAAACATTTACCGTTGATTCCTCTAATCGTTCCACAAGTAGCAGCTTGTCTGATTCAAATGCTTCTGCTGTAGATTATCATGAAGGAGAAATCGTTGCGTATTTTTCAGCAATTAGAGTCCAACCATCTACGGTCACAAATGCGGATTTGCTTGCTAAGTTTAACTTCGGCGTGCAACAGGACTGGGTCTCCGATCGTTTTATTGCAATTAAAGTATCAGCGGCCTTAAAAGATATATGGAAATTATAACTGTGACTGATAAATGGAAAGTAGAGGAAAGACGATACCTTCAGAAGCCGAAGAAAGGACTATCTACCAGAGGTATTTTTTTGATGAGTATAAAGGTAAGACTGACTTGCAACAAAAAAAGTAATAAGTTTTGTCGAAACATAGTTTCAGAAGAACATCTACCAATTATTGAAGAGCCAGGCTCTCTCGATATGTAGAGCACGTGTCTCTATCAGAATCAGCTGAAAACATCGCTAATATCATAAAGACTGAAAGAGCAGTCGAATGCGATGGTATGGTAGTTAACACCAGCCCTTAAGTGTGTGAGGAAACTGGAAGAATACTGCGGCACCTCACTTCACTGGCTGGCATGTTTGTTTTATTGCAATAAACTACCTCTACATCATTTAATGCAACAGTTAGATAGACACGCAATAGATAGAAGCAGTTGTTGCGAGAGAATATCCTAATGATTTAAGTCTTAAAAAACCTGGAAAAATGTCTCGAGCAAGGTGGCTCACAATTGCCAATCAATTGCTTAGGCTAAATATCTCAGCCTTTAATTAATTATGTTAGTAAGTTTTATACAAAAAGTTTATGCATCAGTTTGTTTTTATATAAAACTGTATCCTAGCTGTTCTGATGGTTCAAAACATTTATGGCGAATAATCCATTATTCACGATTTCTACCAGTCGAGCAAAGAAAAGTGCCGATGCCGTTATATAAAGGAGCGCTTATTTTGCAATGACGGAAAACATATACGGAAGCTGAGACTATGCAGAGTGTTGAAAACTAAAGAAAGGCAGAAAGAAAAAAGATCAGGACATTCAAAATACCGTCATTAAATTTCAGTGCTGCAGATTATATCAACTTAATTTCTATTTCTGAATGCATTGTTACGGTTCCTCCTTTGCAAAAACTTATTTCCAATGAACTTGAAAGGGATATGATTGAGTCTGGGAATCACAACGATATCGAGGTTTTAAATTGCCCCTGTCATACCCAATCCGTGGAAAGAACTGTCAAGGTAGTAGCTAAAGCATCAGTTACTGTTTGTGGACCAGAATTAAGGGATGACTTTATTCGTTCAAGATAACAGTCTAGAAATATTATGCCAGTCCAATATAATAAAGATTTTTTACAGTTTTATTCTACATCAAAACGCAACTTTTTTGTGAAAAAAGTGATTTCGATTTTTTCGTTCCACCTTAATACACACTCCATTTAACATAAAGGCTTTAACATTCCTATAGACCAGGGATCCTCACTAGGATTTCTTTAAGAGCCTAATAGTTTGAATAAAATTTTCTTCAGGTCCACAAGTACAAGTGGTAGTATGAAATAACTTTAAAACTATATGACTATAACATAAGTTTATTACAAGTTACGTAAAAATAATATAGTTATAAATTAAATGGACCGTTTTGCATGTAAAAAGTAGGAAAATGTCTTTTACTTGACTCCAGGAATGTCAAATCTTGAATTTGCTAATTCTTTGAAGTCGACGGGCAAAATCTTTCACAGCTCTCCTGAATAGCATCTATGTTAGCAGGTTGGGAATAAACTGAAATTTTTAAAATGTTTTCAACGTTCTCAGTAGTTAGCCTAGATCTGTACTTGTTTTTTATAAACTTTAACTTACTGAATATAGATTCACAGACATATGTAAATGAAAAAATATACAAAATTTTTTGAGCACAGTCAATTCTTCTTCTTAAAGTGCCTATCCGTTCCGGATATTGGCGATCATCACGGCTATCTTTACTTTGTTTACTGCAGCGCGGAACAGTTCGGTGGTAGTCGTATTATACCACTTTCGTAAATTTTGAAGCCAGGAAATGCGTCTTCTTCCCGGTCCTCTCTTACCAGTTACTTTCCTTGGAGCATCAGCTGGAGAAGGCCGTAACGTTCTTGATTTCTCATTACATGTCCTAGATATTTCAACTTTTAGTTTTGACGGTCATGAGAATTTCATATTCTTTCCCATTCTACGCAATACCTCCACATTAGTAACTCAATCAATAGCACAGTCAATAAACTTAGGAAATTTGTCATTTTTAAACTGCTTTCCAAAACTTACAGTGAGCTTTTTCTTTTTTTTTTTCTCAAAAATACTTTTGAGCTCTGTATCATTCTGAAGATGAATTAACTCATTTTTCAAATCCGTAGTTTCGTATACAAAAATAGAAAGATGTGCTACGTTTGCTGTTGTTATTGCCCATGGATTTTCTACCAAGCGAAATGGTTCTTGGAACTTCCTGAAGTCACTAAACCTCACAGACATTTTATCCTTTAGGTCTGCTAACAGCTTCAGTAGGTCAGAAATCTCTTGAATTTTATCTGGATTTTCATCAAATAGTACTTTAACGGAAGAAAAGCTGGAACAATCTTTATTTGACAATTCTTCAATATACATATTCAGCTTCTGCTCCAGTAAAAATCCAATACTCATCATTTTCGTTACAACGTTATTATAGTCTCCTTGCAATTTGGTCAATGTTTCATTCATAATGCTTATTATATCAGTGATAAACGCTACTTTAAGCCACCTATTAAAATTATGAATATCAGGAAACTCTTTATTCTTTGTAGCCAAAAACAAAGTAATCTCATGTTGAATGCTGAAGAAACGTCTTAAAACTTTACCCTTACTCAGCCATCTCACTTATGTGTGGTAAAAAATGTCCCCATATCGCGACATAGTTCGTTCAAAAATTCTTGAAACTCTCTGTGGTTTAGTTCATTTGATCTTATGATATTCACAATCTTTACAAGTGTTTTCATAACACAGCTGAAATTTTCACCAAGTTTAGCAGCTAAGCTTTCTTGATGAATGGTACAATGGAAACTTAATAAATTATCATTTCCCAAGTGTTTTTTCAAAAGCTGAACAAACCCTTTATTTCGCCCCAAATGATATGCTCATTAAAAAAATATATACTATCGTATAGGGCCATAACACTCTATACTAAAATATTTATAACAATATAAAAGTAGGTACACCTTTTGTCCTTGAATTGATCTACCTTTATCCGAAAATTCATTTATTCTCGTGAACCGGTCAGGAATTAAATATTTGCGAATTACGTAACTTCTAGTACAGACAATAATGTTTACAACAATAAATCTTGCATACTAACTAAAATTCCCAACCTAACAACGATCCAAGTAGATTAAAATTATAAAAAACAATACTATATAGCAGCAGAATATTTCCGTAGCAATACGGTAGCTTAAAACATTTATTTTAATAGTAACTTTATTTGGTATACAGGGAGTCCCCAAGGCAAGTAACAACATTACTTGATATAAAAAAATACGCGATAATTGTGAATGAAGATTTCTTGACCTCCTCAATTTTTTAGCCTTGAAACTATCGAGAATATGATACTTATACTATTTTAATAAAATATGTTTATTAAAGATCACAATCTGTACTTCTTTGTTATTTTTAATAAGCAGTAATATACCATATGCTTTGAAATTGACAAATTGAAACAATTTATAAAGTCAAAAATGGATTTACATCTACGATTTACAAAGCAAACACAGATTTAGGTAAGAATTTGAATTTTTGTTTAGGAGATGTAAAAATCTTGCTTTATTCTTAGATGCCAACCAAATTTCTTCCTTCCAGTCAGATTTCTTGGTTTTATTTTGATCTGTCAATAAATTTTCTCTTCTAGTGGCAAAAGGAAGATTGTCTTCTTCGTCGTTATCAGAGTCATCACTCATGTAATGAACCTCTAATTTTACCAGATGTGGTACTGCTAGACCATTTTTGCTGTATTTAGACGAGAACAGTGGGCCCAAGTGGGTTAAGTATAATGTCTTCTGTAGCTTTTATTACTGCGTCATTTAAAATTCTGATTGAAATGGATAAAATAGCAATGGAGAAAAAATTAGCGTTACTAAGATTGGATGCAAGTGGCAAAGTTATTTTAACAAAAAAAATAAGCGATATAGTTTAACCATCTAACCATCACACTGTCTAGCTAAGGAAAGCTCCAAAAAGTAATGAAAGATAAAGAGATTAGATCAAACAGAGCTGGAGGATGCCTGAATGAAATAATACAGAGGAAAATTCATATCGGCACAAATAGTCATCAGACCAATAATTACATACGCGGAAAAACAGTGTAAGAAACATTTATAATAACTGATAAATATTGTCTCCGACACAAAGTAAATTTATACTAATGTACTTTAAATTAGCTAAAATATTACAGATATATCAAACGTTATCAAAAATTTACCACAAACGGTGTGGTTTTTCTAAAAATAAATTTCTACACGACTATATTTTAACACCAACTAATTATCTGTAGGATATGTAGTGATGAAAATACTGGAAACTGACCTAATCTACTCGTTACAATAAACCATAGAGTACGTGGTTAAAGTTTATCTAAAAATAGACTATCACTGAGGCAAAATTATGAAATAAAATATATCAATGAAAGTATTTAATTTGTAATATAATAAAATAAATTACCAGCAGGAAAAATAACCAACTCCATGTTATTTTGACAAAGCTAAAAACTAACAGGAAGAAAAAATAAGAAGATTAGAATATCAGTTTTAATTTAATATTTGGTTTAGAAGCAAAAAAAACGAGCATTATTAGAAATGAGAACGATACGCAGAATATCTAGAAATATACTAAATAGTAACAGCAAAAAGCACAAAATTGAAGCAAAACAAGTGCCTGAGTGTTAAGAAGATATGGTGTTCAATCACAAATTATTCCATTAATTTGTAATCTTACACTAATCTTAATTTCCTGAATTTGTATAGTTTCACTGTGTATAATTGTGTAACGTCGATTAGTAGTTTAATTACAGTTTGTTTAACTTCCTGCAAACTATATAGCCTAATATTTAATGAGACAATGATTTGCTCCGCGCCAGCTTTCAAAAGTCAAAGATTTCTATTCTATTTAAAGGAAAATACTTATTTGACGAATCGTAACATTTTCGTGAGTCTATTATAAATTATTACTTTAACAACAACTATAGTTTAATAATTCAGTAGCTGTCAATAAAACTATATTTTACTCCACGACTTTAACACTTTGTTTCCTCATCGTCGATCGAGAAGAAGCTAATACAGGGAAGTAGACACAGTTCGAACTTATAATTACATTCGAATTTGTTCATATGGATAATATTATTAATAACAGGACGAGTGCATTCCTACGATCAAAATAAATAAGAGGAGTACTAAGATAAGTTTATTATATTCAACTTTCAAGAGCCTCTTGATTTCTGCAATTAACCTTTTAGTTTTAGATACTGAAATTTAAAAAACAACTCGACAACATCATCATCATCAGTGGCGTTACAGCTCTTTATGAGCCAAACCCTTGTTCACAACAATCCTCCATTCGTCCCTGTCTCTGGCAATTCTTCTTCATGCTCTAATTCCGATAGACTTTAAATCATTTTTTAGGTTGTCTTGGTACCTAAGTCTTCGTCTTTCTCTTGGTAATAAACGAATCCCAACTTAATCAAAGTAATCCCGTATAATTCTTACGATGTGAGGACGAGCATTATCTAGCATCAGAGAAAAGTTTTCTTCAACAAATGGGGAAAATATCATTACATTATCTTCAAAATAATGGTGAATATACCGTTGAGCGTTCAAATTGCCTCCTGGAATTGTAACAAGTTCTGTATGAGCCTCTAGGGAAATACCTGCCCACACCATTATAACACCTCCACCGAATTGAACTCTCGGAGTAAGATAACATTATTGGTAAGGTTCACCAGCTCTTCTCCATATTCTAGGCCGTCCATCTGATGAGTATCTGTTAATCTTGATTCATCCGTGAAAAGCACAGCATTCCAATCGTCAACACCCAAATTAAGCTGTTCGCGAGCGAAGTGTAAACGTTGTCTTCGATGATATGCTGTTAATGAGGTCTCTTGACAGGTATTCTGGATCTTAATCCGTATTTATTTAAGTCTTCAAACGGTTTAAACGGAAACGATATTTCTATGGACATGATTTAATCGTTGAATAAACACTGGTGCTGATAATGTACGACCACGTAACGCTTGTAACTTAAGAAATCGATCTTCAACTTGACTTATGCTTCTTCGTCTACCTTGACCTGACCTTCTGGTGTATTGTCGTGTTTCCCGAAATCTTTGTATTGCATTAAACTCTGAACTTCGAGAAATTCCTAAAGCATTTGCGACGTAACGAATGCTCTGCCCATCATCCTGTAAAGCAACAGCTGGTGCTTCTTCTTCTGGTGTCATAATTTTTTTAATGTAAGTTTTAAACAGGAGAAAATACAAAAACCTACAGCTGAACTTATAATCAGGCACAGTACCACAATAAATTTAAATCATACTAATCCATTATTTCACATTAATAACAAAACGCATGTATAAAAGTGTTGTTTTACTTAACAAAAACAAAAAAATCTGAGTGTCTGGTTAATTTTGCACCCCAGTGTAGTTTATGAAAAGGGGTTACATATGTTTAATGGACACATTTTAATATTTTGGTTGTCTGCTTTAAGTGACTTATTTTTGGGTAGAGACCAAATTGCTTTATCAACTTCTTCCAAAATTGGTAGCTCAGTTCCATTCTGTGCTTGTTCTATATTTTTTTTCTACAGCTCTACGTTCTCTATAGTAGCGTAATAAAGTTTTCCTGCAACCTTTTCAGTATTTCTTCTCTTTCGTCAAGTGATTACTGGTATGTCAATACAGAAAAAAGTTTTTAGTTTTTGAAAGTTATATTTTTCAAACCCCAATTAACTGAATATGTGGTTAACACTATTCATAGTTATTAAATAAAATGTTAATTCAACGCAGAGGAAATTATCCCATGCTTTTATAATAACAATCCTTAAAAATAAACCCTTATTTTATAGAAAAACGTTTAACCACAATTCCAAAGTTTAAAACTAAAGTAATATATATGAATCTAAATGTTAAATATTTTTATAGTATCACGTTACTCTCATTTCAAAAGATTGTAAAGAAGGCATTTACTAAGCCTTTAAAATATAATTTGACATAGACATAAATTATCAGTATTCGTTTAATGACAGAAATTAATAAACAGTTAACTAAATTGATTCTTGACAAGAATTTTTAAGTGTACTTATAACGTTATAGTCCAAGCGTCAATTAGCCAAATTTTATACCACTGAAGAAAAAATATTGCAGAAAAATTTGTTAAAAATCGATAAATAAATAAAATATTAAAGAATCTTTGACAACGTTATATCATTTATTATACGAAACTGAAAGCAAAAGAACATACTATCAAATTATGAAAAAGTAGAGAAAACGTATAAATTATGTGAAATTAATTTTTCGAATATTTTTCGAAATTAAATACTACTATTTTTAACTGATAAAATGTCATAGCAACGCCACGCTTCCTACTGGCAAAACTCAATTCTGTCCGTGATTTCTCAGCGACAAAATTATGACAGATTCGTTACGAAGGTGTCAGGTATTTCCAATGTTGTCAGTTCAACAAACGTCATTGAAGCGGTATCAATTTTGGACAGATATTCGCTCCGTGCGTGACTGACGCGACACCTACCGCCTTCATCTGACAGTTTTGGACCTCCCAATTTCCATTTTTAGGAAAATAACAATACCGTACATAAAAAGACTATCAGAAAAACTGAAAAGGATGAGAAATAAATTCGACATTTCAACAACATTTAAAACAACAAACACGTTGAGATCTATTTTGTCCAAAACCAAACCTAACAATGAACAAGAAAGGACAAAGAATTGCATTTATAGAATACCTTGTGAATGCGATCAGTTTTATTTAGGTGAATCATCAAGGCCATTAAATGTTAGAATAAGTGAACTTCAATCTTATATTAAAAATAAAGAATTTGATAGATCTCAAATCTGTAAACACGCATGGGATAATGAACATAGGGTTCAATGGAATAATTCAAATGTAGTCCTAAAAGAAACGGATGGTAAAAAAAGAAAAATCAAAGAAGCGGCTCTAATTATGCTAAATGAGGCCAATTGTGTCGCAAATTCCTCGGCAGAATGTAGTAGGATCTGCTTACCAATATTGAAAGAGGAAGTTTAAGGAAGAATTAATAAGAAAATACCTGTATTAGTAAGTCAGTAACATATAGAGGATACATCATTTATGTTTTTTAAATAACGTATCATATAAAATCAGAATTTTGATGTTTGTTGAAGGTAAACTAAATTCACGAACAAATACTTACAATGTCGGGATAGTATTATGAGGTTTTTTTCCTGGTTTTCCCTCATAATTTACTATGGAATCACTAACAGGAGAAATTTACTGTCATCATGTTATGTGTTTGTCTTTTTAAATACGAATTACATGCTATGATTTTTTTTCTGACGGATGTTCTCAAGGTAAAGTTGATTTCATGTAATCGAATGAACTATCTTATAAGTAAAGTCGTCCCAGGAGGGCAACTCAACAATATTGGCAATATCATTTTAAAGTCGTCTACTTTAAAATGCATAATGTATGTCTGAATTGTCAATATAAATGAGTCAGATAAAATTAAATTATTAGAAGAATTTTTCACTATGTAACAAAAAACAAAATTTGTTTAATTTACTGTTTGTATTTTGAGAACGATTTCCGAAGTGGAAATTGAAACGTCAATAAACGTATTTTTATCTTTAATTGTGGCTTATTCCCAGTTTAATAGTAATTAATCCCAATTTCCAGGTTAAACATATGACATATGTTTGAGATTTTTAAATACATGAGAAATTGACAATTATTAATAATTAGTTTTTTAATTATATTTTTTCAGTTTATGTACAAAATAAATGTAGTATTAAAAACTGAGTTTCTGAAAATTCATCATAATATGTCTTTTCAACCCCAAACGAAAAAGAAAGGAAAAAAACTAGTATTGGCAAATCAAGTTTTTCACTTTAAAGAATAATTAAAAAATAATAATAGTAAAAGTTATGATATAAAAACTTAAGTCATGAGGCACTATGCAGTTAGCTTAAAGCCTTATGAAATATCATTTAAGGTAAATTATTTAAATTTTTCTTATTTCAATTGCATAAAAATGAAATTAATAATATTTACTTTTTCATATTAATAACACGAATCTATCTTTTTTTCTCTAATTTATATGTAATCTTTGGGCACTTATAAAAATTACACTCACTATTTTTGCCATTATTAGCACAATTAAATACGCAACATGTATTTGCATACATTTTTACAAAAATTTATGCCTAAAACGATAGGTCCAATTTTGTCATATTTCGCCGCTACGCACGCTGGCATCGTTTCAAGGTACCCTACCATGGTCACGCACGGAGCGAATAATGAATCCAGATGAAAAATCAAGATTTGGATTAGAGTCAGGTGATGAAATCAAAAATTTGGTTTCGGAAAATGTCCCATTGAACATGCAGAGGTCCAGAAACTCTATTTGGTCCCAATTTTCTGAGTTTTTATTGATGAGAAATTTTACAGTTGAAAGATGTACTACCTTGAAAGATGTATAACCTTGGCATAATCTCGAGGATGAAAAAAGGCAATGGTAAAGAATATAAAGAGTCGTCTGTAAAATCAATGTGGATTACTGCAGCAAAAATGATTTTTTACGAAAATAGAAAAATATTTTACGAAGTACGGCATATAAATCGACCCTATTACAGATATATCTTTCAAATGTACAAGACTGGCCAGAGATACCGAGCTGGGACAGGTTCAAAGTATTCAAGAAAAAAGAAAACTCAGTTCAAAAGCTAATAGTGCTAATAGTAAGCCAGATGTGTGATATTCGTCTGTACTTATTTTGTGTTTTAAATATTGCTATTTTACTTCTTCGACTTCTATTCGTCGTAATTTATTAAATACTGACATAATGGTCCGTTACCGCAGCTTGTTATACTAGAAATAGACACTCGAGACCAATAATTGGAAACATATGCTAAACGTCATGCAGTCACGTTGCCCCACAAGCCTGTAATATTTTGATCAGGACTTAAATAATTTTATATTCTTCTTAGACTGTTTGGGCACGGCTGCTATACCATATGCAACCACAAGTCGTATGAAAATCTTTTTTAAGGTTTATTTTTATTTTTCTACTTCGAGTCTGTCTTTTGTTAACGGTAATCCAGTAATAATCCAGTTTTAATATATATTTATTATTTTTAGCACTTTCTGGCGCATTTCCGTAAAGGACCAAATTCTGTTACCAGAGCAGTATCAATTTCGCAGTCACCTATATATCACGAACAGTATTTAGAATGTCGACATCAAATATGTGAAAGAGCCGACGACTATCCCGAATTAGATATATTGAATATAATGAAAGATACAGAACATATAGAAGGATTTTTTGGATATATTTTAAACGCCACCACGACCAGAGGCATTGATTTAAGCTCCAGGTAAGTTTCAATATTACAGTAATATTTTTGCACCAGCACGTAAATTGTTATCTTAAAATAAAATATAAAAATAGCCAATATTTGACAAGGTATATAAAATTATTCTTAAAAGTTTAGTAAAATGTGTAACTTAAAACTTAAGTGTAGGTGTTAAGATCGGTGTTAAGCTCCTTGCCTAGTGGTCTATCTTTTTTGTCTGTAAGTCCAGTTCTCCATCCATCGTAATTCTTGCTGCTGGAATATCAAATTCTACTGGATATATTTATTAAACGGCTGAAGAACTTTTTTACTTACAGAGATAGCCAAAGTACAATGCGTATTGTAATAAATTTAATTCCTAAAATCTTTTATTCTTGTCTTTACATACTCTTAAGGCCCGTTTTCATGCTACGTCTTATTAAACGTTTTGTTGAATAGGACAAATCCTATACAATAAAATGTTGCATGTAAACAGCAAAACTTACGTCTTGTTGAATCGAAATGAAATCCAAACGGAAGGAAAAACATGGTGTGTATACACTGGACAAAACGTACGTTTTGTCGTACGTTTTATATGACCAACAAAACGTACAATAAGACGTAGCGTGAAAACGGGTCTTTAGAGTTCTCGCAATAACTGGAGTATTACGAAGTATCCAGAACTAAAAAATTTATGACCAATACTTGATCATTTCGGCCACATAGCTATCTATATATACTAAAACTATTTTCATTTCAAAGGTTTGGTTCCGGAACAGGCGAAAAGTTATGCCTGATAGAATACAATGGTACTTTTACCCCAAGAGTCCTAAGGAATGTTGGACTGCAATGGAAATACGTTGTTAATGTAGAAGGGTATCATCAACGGTTTACTTCAGAAATTTGCAAGTAAGTTTTGTTATTATTTTTAAATATAAATAATGTTAATATAAGAGGTGATAATAATTATTTTTGACAAAAGTTTGGGATCGAAATGTACAAGTGCAATGAGATCTTAATCTACTGAAGCTTTAGAGGTATTGAAGAGTAGTATTGTAGAGGTTCCCCTATATATACATCTAAGGAGGATTGTTGTGAAAAGAACAATTGGACTAAAAGGAACTCAATATCTAATGCAAGGTAAAACTGGCTAAACATCTAACGTTTTGGGGGGTTGGAACAACGCAATAGATGAAGATATCAACAGATGTTATGCTTGCAAAACAAGATTTCCAATTTACACTTAATATAATTACAAATGAGTAGGTATATCCTCAAATCGCAAGGAATACTTTCACGTGTTATACTGATAAGTAAAAAATATAGCAGTCGGTACAAATAGATGCTATTAGTCGTAAAAAGAAACCTTCAATATATTTTGGAAATACTTCTACAATACTTCAAGTAGCACTGCTAGGAAGAGAGTTATGTGTTTCACAGTTCCACAAAAACTCAACGAAAATATTACATTTGCTCATATAGTCAAGCTGTACTAAATGCGATTCAGTATACAGTCTATGTTTTGATAACAGCTTGGCATTGTAAACAGTTCCTTAAGACATTGGCGGAATACAACAAAGTAACTTTCTTATTGGCATCAAGGCTTAAAGAAGATGCTGGTAATTGTATCACCAATAATATTGCTAACTCGATTTACAGAGCCGGACTTAATTTGCGGTATAACCAAAATACGCATAGTAATGTATGTTTTAAAATGAAAAAAAATCATTTAGTTATCTTATTTAGAAAAACGTTCAGTCCAAACTGAGATAAAAAGATTAAAATATTAAAATGCCACAAGAAAATAGCTTTACTTTTATGTAGCGAGAACATTTTTACAGTTGTTATCACAGGATACTGCTCATTCAAATAACATCTCTGTAAAATGAGCAAAGTGGACAAAGTAAGGTGGATGTAGCCAAACTCATCGTCTGTGAATGCAGAACAATTAGGTCTGTTGGATCGAACTTCAGATATAGATATAGGGAATACGGTTAGGTATATTGATATAGATATAGAATCTTTCTACAAAAGATCCTTTAGAATAGAAAGTATAGAATAGATAGATACCTTTCTACAAAAGATCTTTCAGGTAGGGATTTGGAAAGGTTTTAGAGATTAAAAGACCACTTATTTCTAAACATAGCTGATTGTCCACAGCTATTATATATTCAAAACTCTTATCTTTGGAATTAAAAATTTTTATGCCATATAATGAAATATGTATATTTTGTGTTGTTAAAGAGAAGCTAGTTTACAGCTCCTTAATTCTTAAATTAGTATCCATTAAATAATTATGAAATTATTAAATGATTATATTGGGGAGTTCGATGCTCAGTCACAACAGAAACCCCAAAAATAGGGTTCTAAATTAGTTTAGTATAGTAAGTTTTCGGTTTAGTAGTTTTCCTGTAAAACTTTAAAACCCAAATAAAAATCTGACATCAGATATTCTGTATGTACTACAGTTTTGACTGAAATATTCTCCGGACCGACAGGTTTTACGAAAGAATATGAATAAGAAATATACATAATGTATATAAACTGTATCACAAAAGTAATGCATAAAATTCATATATTTTTAGTTTATTATTTTTTTTTATTGTACATTTTATTGTACAAAATTGTAACACCATTGGTCTTTCTTTAAATAGCACACACTATATTTAATAAAAATGAATAGTCCTTTCAGAGAGAAATTTAACGCTATAGGGTTCACCTGAAGAAAAACTCGTACACAGTTTGGTTTTCGGAACGCAGTGGGTACGAAGGCTCTCTTTAGCATACAAGTGATATTTCAACGATATAGCGATGTGAATTGAGATATTTATGCATGCTTCATTGATTATCATAAAGCATTTGATACTGTTAAACACGACAAGCTGATAGAAATATTAACAAATACTGGAATAAACCCATGTGATCTAAGAATTATTAGCAATCTTTACTGAAATCAAACCGTAAAGAGGCAGGAGAATCCGATGATATCAAAATCAAACGTGGTGTATACTATTATCCTTGCTATTTAGCATAAACTCCGAGGAAATCTTTCAAGAAGCAATAGAAGATGTTGAACCGAATTACCGGAGAATGTATCAATAACATCAGATATACCGATGACACAGTGGTATTCGCTGACAGCTGTGAAGCCCTCCAGGAGTTAATGAATAAAATCACAGAAGTGAGTCAGATATATGGACTTTCAATGAACATTAAGGAAACAAAAGGTATGATTATCTCTTAAAAAAAAACAGCAAATTGAAAGAATCAGTGTGAATGGTCAACCAATAGAAAGAGTAAAAAGATACACCTAACTTGGTACGAACGTCAATGAAAATTAGTACCATTCCCTAGAAAAAAAATCTAGGATAGAGAAAGCAAAATCTGCATTTAAAAAATTGTTAAGCTATTAAAATGTCACGATTTATCAGTACCCATAAAAATCAAGTTACTACGATGTTAGATCTTTCCTATACTGTTATACGGAGGTGAGTCGTGGACTCTCACAGACGGAACTTGTAAAAAAATTAAGGCTTTCAAAATATGGCTTTATCGTAAAATCCTGTACTGACCATGTTACTAACCAGGACGTTTTATTGGGAATGCAAGAGAAAAAGAGTTATTAACCACAATAAAAACAGCCAAAATTGAATATGTCGGTCCCGTCATGAGGAACAGCGAAGGATATGAGTTGCTGCAATTAATTCTTTAAGGAAAGTACAAGAACAAGAAGGGTTTAGCGTTTACGCTCTAATTACTTCATGAAATATTCGAGCACATTTCTAAAACTGCTTTTTAACTAATTCAATTAAAATGTAAAGTCATTTTTTACATTAAAAAAAGTATGTAAAATTATCTTCAATAAATATTTTTAAATCGATGGATAGGTGTACGATGGTTTATTGAATGGCCACCCCGTACTCCGGATTTAACCACTTTAGACTTATACCTGTAAGGGTATTTAAAAATCAAAGTATTTAGTTCAGACTATTGTAAACTATAACTTCTATGTAAAGAGAAGAAATTTTAAACATCACTCATAATATTAGTCAAAATATTGTCCGAACATCGAATTGATAATGGCAACTATATTGAGATCAACATGTCGTTATGGTGTCACCATCCAATTGTGTTTAATTTTTACCTATACCGAAGGGAAAATTTGTTAAAAATTCAAAATTTTAAGCATGTAATGACCTGACGAAAATTGTATGTACATAATAGACCCTATATGTATTAGTTTGTTGAGATCGGGATGTTAAAGAGCCTTTCAAAACATAAAAATACACAGGGTGCCTCGTTAAAAATAAATATAATTAACCATTATTTGTTTTATTGTACGTGGTTTCTTGTTTTAGGTATCCACATGGTACTACAGATCCAGGAGTGTCAAGGTAAGCAATTATTTAACAGTTCTTGAAGCACTAAATTGCGTAAATATTACGACAAGTCCCTTTATATGAGAGTACAACCTAAGTAAAATAGTATAGTATGAACAGGAAGAATTTTTAAGTAATAGCTATTATCCACAAGGAATCTAAAAATCTGTAGTTGGCTGTATACCATGTATTACAAAAAATTTATTCAAAATCCTTTTTAAAAGGTATATAAGTTAAAAAACCCAATCAGGCTATATCACAAAACGTTTTCGGAATCCATCTTCCATCATCAATGTCTAGGTGTACATATACTGAGCCACTAAATATGTGGGTAAAAACCCGTTAAAAATTATCTGCTTAAATTCATTTTACCTTATATGGTATTAACTATTAGGATGTTAAAGTTACCAGTGGATTTGATAACATGGCGACGTATAACTCCACATGAAGTTGCTGGTCCTGAGACAAAGTGTCTACGAGGACTTGATGATAGCAACTAGCTCTCACCATTGATCAACCATTGATCTCACGAGAATCGTGAAAAATGGTAAGAATCGTGAAAAATGGTAAGAATCGCGCCACGTGTATGTACTTAAAACACCTTTATAGAGTTTATTCGCGGCAAAATGCAAAAACTGCATACGAAAGCTACTCTCTTTGCCTTTAAAACGCATCTTAATTTTTGTCGATAGGATACTTGGATCAAAAGATATCAAATTTTTACCGTCGAGCTGATACGATTTCATTAAACATTAATTTCGCGCGTGTAACTAACATTCAAAATCAATGTTTTTTTCTGAGAAAACTGTCCATTTTTTATAAAAAGTAATACTAAACATTTTTTTTATTTAAACAAAAATGAACCTGGGGGTACAAACACAAATTACAAGTATTAAATTTCTTACAATGTATTATAACCTAAATATATTCTATTAAAGACTGTACAATTTAATGCCTTTCAAATATTTCATTACTTGGTTGAACTGGAAGCTTAGTAGATCCTTTATGTTGGTAGTGAGGTTATTTTTTCTTCTTTTTTGGGTGTATGTTTTTCCTTCTAAAAGAATATGTTTCACAGTGATTGGCATCTTGCAGTTGTTGCAGAAAGGGATGACTTCTTTATATATTAAGTGAATATGGGTTGGTATAGTATGTTCTAATCGTAGTCGAATTATTATCACTTGTTCACAACGTTTGAGTGGGATAAGTAAGGTGGTGCCGACAGTTTCTAGAACATCTTTTAATTTCTTAGATGTGAAGTTCTAGTTACTCTGCCATAAGTTGGTAATATGTTTTTAAGGGAGGTTTTATGGTCGGTTCTTGTTAGCATGTATAACACGATGATGCTTTCATCTAGTGCAGCTTCATATAATTTTATTTAAAATTATCTCGTTACATTTTTTATTTTAAAACATTTTTTTTCCACAACGTACAGATTGTACAACACAAATTTGATGCATAACAACCAGTTGAGCAGGCAGAATTTAGAAGGGGGCAAAGCACTACCGACCACCTTCACACGCTTAAAATATTGATAGAAAAGACCAACGAATACAACCTTCCAATATACCTAGCGTTTATTGACTATGAAAAAGCGTTTGACATCATAGAGCTATGGGCAGTACAAGAAGCGCTAGTTAATTGCGGAATAGATTCACGGTACAGAATGTTAATCCACAATATATATCAAAATGCCACTATGAGAATTCAGCTAGACAGAGATTTGCAAACACCATTAATTATAATTTGTAGAGGTGTCAGACAAGGGGATACAATCTCACCCAAACTATTAACTCTGGCGTTGGAAGACATTTTTAAATCTATAGACTGGGACAATAAAGTAATTTGTATAAACGGGAAATAGGTAAATCATCTAAGATTCATATAACATATCATCTAACATGGCAATAAAACCTTAGTTAATAATAGCAACTCAAAAGTGGTATGTAAAGAACACCGCATCAATTAAAATAGGTGGCAAACTTAGTGAGAAATTCAACACTACGAAAGGGCTACGACAGGGATGTTGTTAATCACCTACGCTGTTTAAAATATATCTGGATCGATCTCTACAAAAGTGGCAAAGACAATGCAGAAATATGGGAATACAAATAGATGAGGATATTCTCTATACACTATTCTTCGCTGATGACCAACTGGTGGTAGCATAAGATATAGACGACCTCAGCTATATGGTTAGGAAACTACAAACAGCGTACGAAGAATGTGGACTGACAATAAACTTACAAAAATGCGAATATCTCTCAGTGGGAAAAAATACAGTCGAAGACCTGACATTAGAAAGTGACAAAATCAAAGGAACAAATAGAGTAAAATACCTAGGAGTAGTGTTTACAAAAGACGGAAATAGCCATGAAGAAATAAATACAAGAATAAACAAAGGCAGAAACATTACCAAATGCCTCTCCATTCTCTGGGATAACTAAATCACAAGAACGACGAAAAAACGAATATATAAGACGATGGTTGAGCCGGTGGTAACATACGGAGCAGAGATATGGGACACTAGTAAAAGAAACAGGAAAAAATTACAAGCTACCGAGATGGATTTTATGAGAAGAAGCTGTAGATTGACAAGGATGGACAGAATCCGCAATGAAGAAATAAAACATAGAATGGAGCAAGAAAAAGACATTATAGATGAAGTCCAGAAAAAACAACTACCTTGGTTCGGTCATGTAAACAGAATGGCAGACGAGAGGTGACCAAAGAAAATATTAAAATGGATCCCAACCGAAAGAAGGAAAAGAGGGCATCCAAGAAGAAGCTGGCGTCAATGAAGCCATGAAAGGTAGATAGCTAAATGAAGCCGACACCCGAGATAGGAAACGATGGAAACTAGAGACAGGAAAACAACGACAGTTGTAAACAACCTGTACTATATTATATATATATATATATAATACTTATATATATATATACTATATATATATATATATATATATATATATATATATTATATATATATATATATATATCTAAGATTCGCCGATGATGTACTCCTGATAGCAACAACTATGGAACAACTACAAATAATGATTTCAGACCTAGAAAAAACATCTCTTGAGAAAGGACTAAAAATTAATCTAAAGAAAACTAAAATAATGACTAATACAGAAGACAGATCAGTAATTACCATAGGTGGAACAAACATAGAACACGTCGAAGAATACATTTACTTAGGACAAGCTATCAGAGCAGACAAAGTAACTAGACTAAAGAAATAACCAGAAGAATAAGAATGGGGTGGCCTGCATTCGGAAAACTCTCATGTACTATCAAAAACCAAAAAATACCTTTAAAATTAAGAACGAAGGTATTTAATGCATGCGTCCTACCTGTTCTGACATATGGTGCCCAGACGTGGACGTGTAGCAAGAGCAACTTAGATAGAATAAAGAAAACTCAAAGAGCTATGGAAAGACAAATTTTGGGCATATCTTTGAGAGATAAAAAGAGAAACAAGTGGATAAGATGCAAAACCGAAACAACAGACGCTGTCGAACATGCATTGAAATTAAAATGGAAATGGGCTGGGCATAACGAAAGATATCAGAATGGAAGATGGAATAAAGAAATTGGCCGCTGGAGACCATATACTGTAAAAAGGTCAAGAGGTCAACGGCAAATGAGATGGAAAGATGACATTGAGCAAAGAGCAGGTCCAATGTGGAGAAGACAAATAGAAGACAGAAACAAATGGGAGAGTTTACGAGGGGGCTTTTAGGGGGAAGCCCGTGGGTAAAAGTGGTAAACTTTTTTGCAACTTTGTTTTGTTCCCAAAATTATTGTTCTCAGCAAAATTCAGACTATTCTTATAATTTTTAAGGTTCAACTCTCTGACACCTGGACTAAAAATTCTAAGAATGAGTTTGTATTTCCTTAAAATTTCCCAAGCCACTTTAAAAAAAAAACCTTTTAAATGATATTTATTAAACACATATTTTCTTTTTTAGTCAACACTGCACGAATTTCGGCTACAAATGCAAACAGAGTTTCACCGAGGTCCATCTGCTCACCTACGAAGAAGGCGTCATCGACTTCGACAAATTCATGATACCTACTAAATGCAACTGCGATTGTGATTCGTAGATACCTACCTATAAAGCCGACTAACAAAACAAATAAATTAGATATAAAATTAAAAATGAACGTTTTAATCGGTCTTTATTTTGTAAGGCTTAGTGCTGTGGAATTAGTTGATGTAAAATGTTGTCGACTTCAAGGACATTTAAGTTATTATCCGTTATTAACATTCCGTAAAAAGACTCGATTAGACTTCTTCAAGATCAAATGAAAAACTTTTTAAAATTAGTCAATATTTATACAAAACTATTTGTAATAATATGTTATTATTTTCGATAATCACAGATTTCGATAGAGAGAATTACAAAGTAACTCAAAAGAATATTTGAAAGATAGGCAGTGACGTAGCCATAGGGGGTGTCCTGAGGTTTCGGACACCACCGGAAATGTTATCAAATATTAAAGATTTTAGAATTCAATAAATATGTAAACAATATTAAATTAAAAAAAAATATTAAATGTTAAATTTTGAGAGATTTTAAAGTATTAAAAAACCTTTAACTTTTCATTTTTTATATTTATTCATTTATTTTTACGCACAACAGGCCGTTAAGGCCCAGGACATTTTTTTTACAACATAATCCTAATATTAAATAATTACAATTATTTTAAACAAAACTTTAACATAAATATGTATATACAACATTCTTAACTACTCTGAAGGACCTGGTGTACAATATTTCTCCATTCGCTTCTATTTTGTGCTTTTCTTTTCCAGTCCCTCACCTTAACGTGTTTAAGGTCCTCCTCCACTTTACTAAACCACCTAGTTCTGAGTCTACTTTTGCTATATTCTGAGTCTATATTTGCTGCCATACTTTCCACATGTCCCAACCATCTGATTCTTTGTGCATTGACGAACTTGGTAATGGTAGGTTCTTTGTATAAAGCCATTAATTCATTGTTGTTTTTTCTCTCCAAACCATCTTCTGTTTTCCGTTCTCCGAATATGCGTCTCAATATTTTCCTTTACCATCTTTCCAGAGTATCCTCTTCCTTCTTATTTAATGTGCATGTCTCACCGGCTTATGTTACTGTAGGTCGAATTACTGTTTTATATATTCTGAGTTTACCTTGTCTAGAAACGTATTTTGAGTTCACTAGGGCCCTTGAACTACTTAATTTTTTATTCCCTTTTGCTATTCTGGCTTCGAGCTTCCATTTCTCTTTTCAGTTTTCATCGAAAACTACACCCAGGTATTCAAATTTGTCCACCTTTTTAAAACTATAGCTTTTACCACTTACTGACCTCACACTAAAGTCTTCTTTTTTCCCTTCTGTCCCTCCCATGATCATATATTTGGTTTTGTCTTTATTTAGTTCCAATCCGAATTTCTGTGCTTCTTCGATGATTTTCTTCACAACTCTTCTTAATTCTTTCTCGGTTTTTGCTAGGATCGTTAGATCGTCAGCAAATACTAAACACTGGTGCTCATTTTTTATGATCGTTTCTTCCACCGTCATGCTGCATTTTCTGATTACAGTTTCTAATACTAAGTTGAATAATGTAGTGGATGAAGGATCTCCCTGCCTCAAGCCTTTTACAACCGTAAATTGATCTGATATGTTACCTGGCCAATAACAAATAACAATAATAACATGTAGAGTTATTTAGTGTCATTTTAACTAGCCGGATCAGTTTCTTTGGTATATCCAAATGTGGCTCGATACATTTTGACTCTATCGTCTTTATCATATGCTTGTCTAAAATTCACAAACAAAACACCTTCATAACAAGTCGTTTGTATCTCCTTTAATGAGAAGATTTGGTCTACAGTAGATCTGTCCTTTCTAACGCGCCGGCCTGATATTCATGCAGGATTCTTTCCGTGTAGCAATTTAGTTTATTTCTCAATATTCTTGTCAATATTTTGTATACCGTGTCTAGTAAGACTATATCTCTTTAGTTGTCACACTTCAGTTTGTTTCCTTTTTTATGCAGAGGGCATATGCGGGCCTCGTACCACTCCAATGGCATTATTTTTTTCCCATACTTGCACTAGTAGCTGATATATTTTTCTTTGTAGTTGTTCTCCACCAAACTTAATCATTTCTATGCATATGTCATTTTTACCAGGACTTCTGTTATTTTTCATTTCTTGTATTGCTGTCACCACCTCCTCCTCTGTAATCTGCCTTTCAACTATCGCATCTTCTCCAACCGTCCAGTTGTCTACTGCTTCGTGGTCCACCTCACCATTTAATAATTTTTCAAAATGTATTTTCCATTCCGTCATTATTTATGCCAAATCGCTAATTAAATTTCCCTTTAGCTTTCGTATAACTACAGTGGCTTTAGTAACCTTTTCCCATCTTTTTAACTTTTTGATAGAACGACCTTACCTCTTTGTTTTTAAACTTCTCTTCTATCTCTTTTAATTTCAACTAATTGTGTTATCTCTGTTTCCTTCTACACAGAGCTTTCAATTCTAATTATTTTAGTTTATAGATTTTTTAAATATTTATTTCTTCTTTATATTTATTTTTTATTTCTACTTCCTTAAGTTTTTCAATATTGTACTTTCTCTTCGTTTTATTGTTCGATTTCTCTTTTTCTTCCAGCCTCCTCCCACATGTGACTTTAACGAGGTAATGGTCTGAGTCAATTTCAGCTCCTCTCATATTTCTTACCATCTGAACGATATTCATATATTTACTTTCAATCATAACATGATCAATTTGATTCACTGTCCTTCCATCTGGAGAGACCCACGTTCCTTTGTATATCCCTTTTCGTTAACATTACAGTCACCGATTATTATTTTTACATCACGTTTAGGTAGGCGCTCGTATTCATCATTTAGCTGTTCATAGTAAAGATCTTTTATTTCGTTGTCATTGTCTTCTGACGGTGCATGAATATTGATTATACTCCAATTTATTTTCTTACTTTTAATTCGTATTGAACACATTCTATCAGAGATAGGATTAAAAGCTATCACTTTGTCCTTGATACATTCAGCTACTAAAAAATCAGTTCCAAGCATTCTATCTTTACATCCACTTGTAAAGAGCACCATATCTTCTATATCAGTTATTTTCGATCCTAATTGTTTTGTCTCTTGAAGAGCCATTAAATCGATTTTATACTTCCTTGTCTCATTCCTTAGTTCTTTTAGCGCACCTTCGTAAAATGTTTCTCGTACATTCCATGTAGCTAAATGTATCTTGTCATTCATCGGCTGTACCTTTGTATTACTATCTTGTTTTGTTTCGTTTTCATAGTTCGTAATCCTTTTCTTCGCATTGTTCGTCTTTATTACTTTCCTTTTCATGCTGGTGATTAGTTTTTTGCTTTGGTATCTACCACCAACGTTTGGTTCATGCCATCCCAACGCCATATCGGCGCTGATCGAAATATATTTTCTTATATCCTACTTTGTCGTAGGAGAACAGGATTCGTAAGTCTCTGTATTTAAATAGGTTAACTAGACCAAGTTATGATGTTATTTTGGCCTCTCATGGCCTCATCTCAGTCGAGAGCGCTGAATTCAAAATCAAACCCAAAAGACCAACAAGAGTCTCCTATCTGTTTTCCACTCAGGTGGTAGCCTACAAAGGTGCAATCTAGGTAATTTGATGACCATGAACAAAAACTATTTATTATGATTGTTTTTTGTCCGTAGCGGCTATGGTCATCAAAAAACCTAGAAGGCAGGATCTAATAACGTGGTCTAGTTTATCAATTTAAACACAGAGGCTTACAAATCATGCTCCTACGATATACTATATTGTAAATAAATAAAAACGATAGCAATATTTTACTAAAAGACGTAATTCGCCTAGCATTTAATCCACGTTGTAGCACTGTCTAATCGCAAATTAAAGAACATAGCAAATTAAAGAACATAGCAACAATACCTTTAATAGCAGTAATAAATATAATATTATTGCTATATTTATGCAATATAAAAACCTAAAAAAAATGTAAAGTTAAAGGTTTTTTAATACTTTAAGATCTCTCAAAAAATCTTTCTTTCTATAAATATTTCAAGATCTCCTAAAAGTCAAGATCTCTTATATATTTTCTTTACCTTAAAAAATAAACTACTATTTACAGGCTGAAATAATGTACAGCAATAATAGCAATGTTGTTCGGCTTTTAGTATTTTTATGTGGTATGAAAAAAAGATACGTACGTGTCAAATTGTACATATAGTGTAATTTTTATTTTATGATATTAATTTTATTTTAATAAAGATTTATTTTAAATCAATTCGTGTACATTTTTAATTATTTAATACATGTTACAAAAATATTCAGGCAGGACAAGGAAATCTTCAGACCGATTTCATCCATGATCAAATTGAAGAGCATGGGGCTCAATGAATCCCCTTGTCTTATTGCGTTTCCTATTTCTATAGGTTCTGTAACTTGTGCATGTATTTTGACTTCCATTTAGTTAATTTGGTAGATGATTTTGATAGTATTTATAATATTTAGGGAAACTTCTCTTTTATACAGAAGATGGATTACATCTTTGAGTCTTACTCTGACAAACGCTTTCTTTAGGTCAATAAGACACAAAAATGCTGGTCTATTATACTCTAGTGATTTCTCAATAATGTTTGCTTTATATGTAGCTGTTATTTATCTGCTATATTTATCTTCTCATTTATTAGCATTTGTACAATTTTAGTATGGACATTAAAAATATCCACGATTAATCGTCTGGAGGCCTTTGAGATGTGGCTGCACAGACGTATACTAAAAATTCCATGGACGGCTATGCTGACAAATGTGGCAGTCCTTGAAAGAGCAAATGCTGCTCGCGAGCTGCTTGATAACATCAAATGTAGAAAGATGGCCTATTTTGGACACCTAGTAAGGGGAGACCGATATAATATTCTTCAACTTATTATGATGGGTAAAAGCGAATGACGCAGAGAAATTGGTAGAAAGCAGGCCTCTTGGTTAAAGAATATCAGGGAGTGGACAGTACTAAAGAAAACTGAGCAACTATTTAGAATAGCTCGAGACAGAGACAGTTTCGCCATGTTGATCGC